GTGCTATGTCCCGCAGAGGGACTGAGCTCAGCGGGGCACAACATTAAACACACTCTCGTCTCTCTGAGGCGGCACCTGCTGTGAGGATGATGAGTGTGGTGGTTCCGGTGGCGGCGACTCTGTTCTTACTTCTTACTCTTTAAAAAAAACCTGAACATCGATTGTTGTGACATCGTTAGTGAGCGCGGTATATTTGTTGTGTCTGTACAGTCCACTGTCCTCCTTCGTCTGCGCGCGGCCGCGAGAAGTTCTACGATGTGTTTGCTCCATAGACCAGGGGTCGGCAACCTTTTTGATATGAAGTGCCATTCAAAAAAAAAATGTTATCAGCGTGCCGACGATCGTGAATTATCAACGGGGGGGGGGGAGCCTCGCTGCGGGGAAGCAGTGTGTGGACCTGTCAGCGCAACTTACATTAGGGATGCTCCGATCGCCGATCCGATCGAGTCCTATGGGGATCTTCCATTTAAAGAAATGTTTAAAACTCAATTAATGGGGCTCATTCACTGGCGCTTCCACAAACAACAACCAACATAATTGTTACATTCAAATGAAGTAGCCTACATTATTCAAGTTTACATTAACTTTGGATAATAACACGGGAGAAATTAGCTGAAGCGCTCTCTTTTCCTCTCTCTCTCTCCTGACAGCCTGTCAGTATCTCATGCAGCTCACTGATCCAGTAATGAGTGACCCGACAGTGAAGAATACATATATTTATAACTAGTTCCAGAGGTAGATCAAATAGCTAAGTGTGTTAGGTCTAACTCTTGTGTGTTTTGCTCCGCTCACCGGTCCGTCACAGCGGGTGGAGCTGCAGGATTTCTGCTTCACACACGTTGCACCGCTATTTTATTGTCATTTTCGGACACCTTAAAATATTGCCAGACTGGTGAAGCCATTTTGGCGAGCTTGTTTTGCCGCACACAGAGAAGAAAATGTATTTTACGTCTCGCGATCTGCATTTTTAGAGAGCACCGATCGATCGGCATAGAGTGAGTATCGGCCGATATCGATCGCCACGCAAAAACTGCGGCATTTTTACAGCTCCTTATGGGTACTGCAATTTGTGAAGTGCTTTCCTCTGTGGTGAAACTTATCAGCACTGCATTACGGAGGAAAGCGGCAGAAAGTCGCCTGGAGTTAAAGAGAGCGGGGCTGCGTTGCGTGCATGGCTTCCTTCTGCAGGTAACGGGGAGACGCGCTCTGGCGGCGGTCTCGTTCAGGATCCGAAAATAAAATGTAAATATTTTGCACACTTATTCCACTTATTCCTAGTGTGCCACTGGTTACGGTGCCGCATGCCAATGGTGGCAAGCGTGCCAGGGGTTGCCGACCCCTGCCATAGACTGTATATATAAAGGTTTGCTCCCGTGCTTCGACTATGAGTTCGGCCTGATTACGTTAATTAATGTTGCTTTTAATTTTATTATTTTTTGAAAGGGAAACACATGTTTGCTCTTATTTTATTATTTAATTGTTAATTTTGATCAAAAATGTTGGAAACTATATTTTTGATCAATGAATGGGTGGGCCCAGTGCCAGAGTGGGTGGGCCCATCCAGGATTTGGGCCCGCCCATGAGAAATCAGGGCTGATTAAAAAAAATTATTATATAAAAATATTTTTTACATTTTTGTATTATGATGTTTATTGTTGTTATTTGTAGGGCTTTGTCATAACATTTATTTTTGTATTAAAGTGGAGAGGACACTGAGGGTCCGGCCCACAGTGAGGGGACAGAGAAGAACGGAGGTCGTTCTCCCAGGAGCTGGGGAAAACCAGGGTGTCCTCACAGATTGTGAGAAGAAAGCCCCCCGTGGTGGTGGATGGTGGGCCGGATCCTCAGTGTCCTCTCCACTTTCAGATGAAGGGTCAGAGGAACTCAAAGAAATGCTGGACTCCAGAGAGCATTCAGTGTCAGACCCCCCCTCGAACCTTGTGTCTTCTTCAGATGAGTCCTGCAGCTCGCTGGCAGAAGAAGGCTGCAAGATTATTTCTGAAGTCTCTTCTGCACTGAAAAGCTTCTTCATTTGAGTTCCTTCTCTTTGCTCCAGGTCTTTCTCCTTCTCTGCTCACTAATGAAATAAGCCCTTGGTCAAACTGCATGTTTATCTTTGGCAGCCAGGTGCATAAACACACTAACAGTTGTTTTTTGTTTTTGAGTAATCAAGCAGCTCTTCAAAGACACATCAAACACATCCCTCAAAAGATGGCCTTTTTTTCCCATGAAATGATCTGTGCATGCTTACAGATTCTCTCACACACACACACACACACACACACACACACACACACACACACACACACACACACACACACACACACACACACACACACACACACACACACACACACACACACGGAGAGGGAGGAGAGGTGTGTGCTGGTTGTGCACAGGCCTAAAAAATTGTTGTTCTATCACCTGAGAGCACCAGGTCACATGCTGCAGGACCTGCTAGTCTGCTGCTGGAAATGACACACACACACACGCACATATACACACACACACACGCACACGCACACACATATACATACATACACACACACACACACACCACTCTCGGGGCCCCCTGGTAGTCACACGGCTCCATAATATAACTGGCAAAAATGTAAGAATGTAATGCATCGGCCTACACGGAAAATGGTGTAATCTGTTGGAATAGAGTAGAAATATCAAATATCACTACTTTTCTTCTAAATGAAATGCTGACATTACAAAATGCATGGTTTTATACTGCAATGGCAGTGAGATCAACAAATGTGGTCTGAATGGAAGTCAATGAGGCATTTTTTAGAGAAATGAAATAATTAAAATAATTAAACAGGCATTTAATGGGTTAAAATCCTGCCAATGATTGAATGTTTGGTAGTTTGGAGTACGTGAGAAGTTGTATATGTGATTCATGAAAAAAAAGTAGAAAAAGATATTGATGTATGATGATTTAATAGCAGTTGTTTTGGGCGTGTACATTTTTGCCACGAAGGTGTCCAGAGGTAGTATCTGACACTACGTAAAAATTAATAATGCAGTCAAATCAATTTTGTTGCTAATCTTTGACACATCCAAGACTCTAATAACCACCAAAGTTCCATCCCTCTACTAATTATTATATTGAAAGAAATTCATTTTTTGTGTTTTTTTTAAGAGAAATTAAATAATTCAAATAATGAAACAGGCATTTAAAGGGTTAAAATCCTGAAAATTATTAAATGTTTGGTAGTTTTGAGCACGTTAGAAGTTGTTCAAGTGATTCATGGAAAAAAAAGTTTAATAAAATATTGATGTATGACGATTTAATAGCAGTTTCTATGAGCGTGTACATTTTTGCCACGAAGGGGTCCAGAGGGTGCAAAATGCATCACGAGAGTATACAAAACATGTAAGAGTAAACGACATTGGATTTCAAAAATTTGACTCAAAAGAAGACTTCTTGCAAAAATCCATGCCAAAAGCTGTAACACAGCTAAAATGAACACCAAATGGAAAAATGTACAAAAATGCCCGAGGAGGGCACAAGGGTTAAATGCAATAAATTACTCAACTGTTGAAAAACAACTTTTTCTATGATTTTACCTAGAAATGGCAGGTTTGATATTGGCCTGTAATTGTTCATTACTGAAGCGTCTAGATTATGCTTTTTTAACAGCGGTTTAATGACTGCAGTTTTCAGGGCCTGTGGAAAAACACCTGAGTGAAGAGACTTGTTTACTATATGAAGTAGATCTGAGGCCATGCAAGGAAAAACATTTTTGAAAAACCCTGTTGGAATAATATCAAGGCAGCAGGAGGAGGATTTCAGAAGTTATATAATGTCCTCTAGGTTTTTATCATTAATCTGATGGAATTGTGTCATGGTGTTTGAATTGATTTTAAGTGGACACAGAGACAAAACATTTGCTGTACCTGATGCAGAGGCAGAGGCACTGACTGCTTGTCTAATTTTCTGAATTTTGTCAGTGAAGGAGGCAAATTCATTGCAGGCCCTGGTGGATAGAAATTCAGAGGCTACTGACACTGGGGGGTTAGTTAGTCTGTCGACGGTAGCAAACAAGGCACGTGTGTTGTTTTAGCTTTTGGCAATGATATCAGAGAAGAAAGACTGTCGGGCAAATTTCAATTCCAAATTATAAAGGCCAAGTCTCTCTTTATAGATTTCAAAGTGAACCTGGAGATTTGTTTTTCGCCACCTGCGTTCAGCTTTTCGACACTCTTTTTCCTCTGTTCTCACGGTCATGGCCTTTCTCCATAAACAAAGTCAAAAATCAACATACAGTAGGCAACATAGGGGGGTGGGGGATGGTGAACGGTATGGTAAATGTTTGTAAACACAATCCCCAGGATGTGTCCTAATCACAAACCTACAGACTGGGGGTTGGGAGATCACAGGAGGGGGGGGGGGGGAGCTGTGGAATGTGACCATCCCCCTTGGGAGGCTTCCTCCACACATTCCGATGGCCAATTCATTTTAAACAAAGAGTTCTCAACATACAGTATAGTCAACATAGGGGGGTGGGGGCTGGTGAACGGTATGGTCAATGTTTGTAAACACAATCCCCAGGATGTGTCCTAATCAAACCAAAAGAGAAAATGCAGATATTACACTCATAAAATAAATGGTAGACATATCAGTACTCTTAGTGCCAAGTTGTCTCAGACAATCTGCATTTCCTAATATGGGACAGTTCTGTGCAAAATGTGGGACACTGAAAAGTCTATGTTCTATTTCGTATATGGCTTCGCCCTCTAAGGCTATCGCTATTGGGTAATCCCCCTGCGCACCCGCGCAGCACTGAAACACTTGTAGTCCACGCCCGCCCGCAAGGTGGGCCCCACCCTCGGGCTCCCTTCCGGTATAAATAGGAAGGAGGCCCGACAATCTGCTCCCTCTTTTTCTTCAGCACCCCGTTACTGAAGCACAAGAGACACTTAGCGATATAAAAGAGAACATGAGCAACAATTGCGTGAGAGATTGTCCCTCATGTGGATCCGGTTATATTATGAGCTACGACCAGCACACGGTATGCGAATCCTGCCTGGGGTCAGAGCACGCGTATGCGGCTCTCAGCCAGCAGGTCGCATGCACGCACTGTGCCCGTCTCCCCTCGGATGACAGGAAGCGTAGAGCGGACGCTCTCGCTGCTGCGGCCGAGGAGGACGATTGGCCCGTCCAGGTTTTCGAGCCCGTGGACGGCAGCCTCATGTCCCTGGAGCCGAGTGCCGGGCAGGAGTCGGACGACTCCTACCCCGTCTCCCTCCACGGTTCACCGTATGGTTCTCCCCTCCCTCCTCTCCCCCGGACGGGGGAGACAGAGTCGGAGCAGGGTGCCGACTTGGCGGCCGAGCACGCGGTCCCCTTCTCCGTCACCACGGCGCTGCCGGCGATAGGTGGCATCTTGGGGGAACTGCCAGGGATCATTTGCAAGGCGGCCGCCTGCAGAGGTCTCCCCGTTCCCCTAGCTCAGGAGAGGTGTGCTCCGGACGACATGGCCGGAGTTTTTTCGCGGGTACAGACGGTCAGGAGTGATCCGATCTGGCCACGCTTCCCCGCCATCAGGAGGTACCAGGAGGGGGCGGCGGCGGCGAACCCGAGGACCCTGAAGGCTCCGGTGGCCACATTTGTTCCCCTCACCAAGGTGGAGGGATTCACAGATGCTGGATTCCCAGCCACCCCTTCGCTGGAGCCGGGCCTGACGGCGTTTTTTGGGGTGAGGCAGGCCAACATGATCGCCGGACGGCGCCCTACGTTGGCCTCCCCCAGGGACCAGTATGTCGCCCGCCAGGCCGACCGGGTGCACCAGTGTGCCTTTCAGGCGTTGGCGGCGGCGAACAACATCGCGCTGCTCTCCAACTCGGTGGTGACGCTGGTGGAGCGGTCCACCACCTTGGCCGCTGATGAAGCGGAGGAGATCGGCAAGGCGGCCAGCACGGCGCTCACACTGCGCGTCTGTCGCTGTCTCCCAGGCAAGGATCGCCGCGTGGGTGACGCAGATCCAGCGCCACCTCTGGCTGCAGCAGGCGTCTGTTACAGAGACGGCCAGCAAGGTGTTACTGGACGCTCCAATCAGCCCGGATGGGCTGTTCGGACCCCAGTTCCACGCCATGGTGGAGTCCATGAAGGCGGCTGCAGAACAGGCGGACGACATCCGCCAGCACGTCAGCTGGCTCCAGCCTGCTGGGCGGCCACAGCGGCACCTACGCCCGCAGCAGCCGCAGCGTCCAACCCGGCCACAGCGGCAGGCGGAGAGGCATTCTCAGCAACCGCAGCGTCAGCGCCCGGCGGCGGCGGCAGGGGCTCCACCCCGCGTCTCCGCTCCCCCGCCACCCCAGAGACGAAGGGGTCTCTCGGCGGTGAGTCAACGGGGAGTGAGGCACTCCCGCTCTGTGTCTGCTCCACGAGAGCCTCCAAGGAAGCAGAGCCGCTTTTGACGTGTTGGGGGGGATTGTGAGAAAAATAAAATGGGTTCATTTTCCAACTTTTTGTCTGAGTCATCAGTATCAAGTGTTTCTCACATATCCTCCACTCTGTGTAAACCAGCTGTCTATAACCTATCGGTTAGTAGCCAGCAGGGTTCGTTGCAAAAGCCTGCACTTTTTAATCTATCGGTTAATAAACCGCAGAGCTCGCGGCATTCCTCTGTCCGAGATACGTCTCCTACACACGGTCATAATAAACCCATGAGCGCCGCTATAACGCCTCATGTGGTCAACACTGCATACATCTCCATTCATCCCCTGAGCGTGTACACGCCTCATGATGAGAGCCAGAGTGAAACGCAGCGTGTGGAGGCTCCCTCACAGCCCTTTCGCTCCAGGCCCACCTTGGGTTGCCTCACAGGCAGCGGCGGCGAGGGCTCTGACGTGGCTCGTCGCCATGACGACCACAACACATCTCGAGCATGTGCGCCCGCTCTCAGAGTATTTCTCAGAGTGGCAGCGCGTGTGTCTGATGGACAGATGGATGAGCAGGCTGATCAGCAGAGGGTACACCCTGCAGTTCGCCTCCCCCCCCCCCCACAGTTCAATGGGATACAGGAAACACTCCTGTCATCCCAGGAACAGTGTCTTGCGCTCCAGGCAGAGCTGCGGGAACTCCTGTTGAAAGAGGCTATTTCCAGGGTTCCTCAAGGGGAAGAAAATCAGGGGTATTACTCCCGCTATTTTCTTGTCCCGAAAAAGACAGGGGGAATGAGACCCATCCTCGATCTGTCAGTTTTCAACAAGGTCATAATGAAAAGGCCTTTTCACATGCTGACGATCAGACAGGTGCTGGAGTGTGTTCACCAGGGAGACTGGTTCACATCGATAGACCTGAAGGATGCATACTTCCACGTAGCCATCATCCCAAAACACAGGAAATACCTGCGTTTCTCATTCCAGGGAATATCGTACCAGTACAACCGTCTGCCGTTCGGATATTCTCTGGCTCCTCGCACTTTTTCGAAGTGTGTAGAGACGGCGCTGCAGCCGCTACACAGAGGAGGGATGAGAGTGCTGTTTTACCTGGACGACCTGCTATTGCTGGCTCGCTCCAGAGAGGAAGTTGCTTTACAGACGGTACAGCTCGTATCTCATCTGTCAAAGCTGGGTTTCATAATAAACTGGAAGAAGAGCTGCCCTCTTCCCTCCCAGAGTATTATTTACCTGGGTGTGGAATTGAACTCAGCCCGCATGAGAGCGCGACTCTCACAGCAGAGAGTGGAGGCACTGACAGCTCTTCTCCGATGCGTCACACCTCGCAGCGTGGTGACAGCCCTCTCCATGATGCAGCTGCTTGGCATGATGGCAGCTGGTCATGTGGTGATTCCCCTGGGTCTCCTTCACATGAGGAGACTCCAGAGGTGGTTTATTCGCCTGCGCATCGACCCCGTGCGACAGAAGAGGCGCATGGTGGCCATCCCTCCTTCCGTGGGTTCAGACTTAACCTATTGGAAAAGTCCCCACGTCCTGTCAGCGGGTGTGCCCCTGGGCAGAGTTACGTCACACATCTCGGTGTTCACAGACGCATCTCTCTCAGGGTGGGGAGGAACGTGTATGTCGCAGGCAGTGGGGGGACAGTGGCCGGCTCACATGTCCCTCCACATAAACGTGCTGGAATTGCTCTCCGTACGGAGAGTAATCCAGTATTTTTGCCCCGTTGCTGCGGAATCAGCATGTGTTGATTCGCACAGACAACAAAGCCGGGGCAGCCTACATCAATCGCCAGGGCGGAGTACGCTCAGCGCAGCTTCTGAACACAGCCAGGCCGCTGTTGATCTGTGCGCGCGCACACTTGCTCTCCATCAGAGCAATGTATGTTCCCGGCGAACTGAACAAAGGGGCAGACCTCATGTCCAGAGGAGGTCCTCGCCAGGGGGACTGGAGCCTCCATCCCGAGCTGGTCTCCCAGGTATGGAGCCGGTTCGGGAGAGCAGAGGTGGATCTGTTCGCCGCACGCGGGAACGCGCAATGCGCCCTCTGGTTCTCCCTGAAAGCGCAGGACCACCCCCCCCTGGGGGTGGACGCGTTCGCACATCGACCATGGCCCAGGGGACTGTTGTACGCTTTTCCACCAGTCCCGCTGATCCCTCGGTTCCTGGACCGAGTGCAGGAGGAGCGACTGTCAGTGATCCTAATTGCCCCGGAGCACACGGGCGCTTCCTGGTTTCCATGCCTACAGCGTACGCTGTCAGGCAGACCGTGGGAAATTCCGTGGCGCGGGGACGCTCTCTCGCAGGTGGAGGGAGCGATCAACAGTCACCCTGTGATAGGCCAGCACTTATGGGCATGGCCCCTGAACGGGAACACTTAGAGGGGCTGGGCCTCTCTCAAGATGTTGTACGGACCATTCAGGGAGCCAGGGCCGCGTCTACCAGAGCGTCCTACACAGCCAAGTGGACAGCTTTCCAGCGTTGGTGTGTAGAAAAAAGCCTGGACCCCATTACGTGCCCCCTGCCTCACGTGCTGTCATTCCTCCAGCTGTTGTTGGACAGGAATTTGGCTTTCAACACAATCAAGGTGTATGCTGCTGCCATATCATCTTGTCATGTGGGTTTCGGGGTCGGGACGGTGTTTAGTCACCCCCTGACGAAACGTTTTCTGCGAGGAGTACGGAGACTCAGACCTGTGTCACGCGCACTAGCGCCTCAGTGGGATTTGGCTTTGGTGTTACGCGCACTAAGCAAAGCCCCATTTGAACCTTTAGATCAGGTTCCCCTTAAGATGTTATCAGCCAAAGTAGTACTACTTTTGGCTCTAACATCAGCAAAAAGGGTGAGTGATTTGTCTGCTCTCTCTGTGGCTCCGTCATGCCTCCGGATCCAAGGAGATGGCAGTTCAGCTGTTTTACGCCCTAACCCGGCTTTTATGCCAAAGGTCATCACAAGCTCTTTTAGGTGAAGAGTGATCACCCTGGATGGCTTCTTTCCCCCTCCTCACAGGTCGGAGGAAGAAGCCACGTCTCATCTCCTCTGTCCTGTGCGCGCGCTGTCCTGCTATGTGGCGCGCACGGCTGCCTTGCGCCGTTCTCAGCGCCTGTTTGTGCATTACAGAGAGCGCTCGATCGGGCAGCCTCTGTCTGCACAGCGGCTGTCACACTGGCTGTGTGAGGCTGTGTCACAGGCATATGTCTCCTCTGGGGTGGATCCCCCGGAGAACATCAATGCGCACTCCACCAGAGGAATTTCCCCCTCCACGGCTTTGCACGGAGGAATGTCAGTGGAAGACATTTGCACTGCTGCATCTTGGTCTTCTCCCTGTTCATTTATTCAATTTTATTTGAGGGATGTCTCCCATTCCTCTCTGACACACCCTGTGCTGAGTGTCCTGTCAGAGTGAGTGACGTCAGGGATCCAGCTGTGCGCCTCTCTCCTGCCTCGGCACACAGAGAGTGGCCTGTATTTCCCTCTTATGAGAGGGACGTCCCCCTTTTTCCCCTGACACATTTCGTACGGAATGTCTTGTCAGAGTGAGTGATGTTAGGGACCCAGCTGTGCGCTCTCCTGCCTGTCTGCACGCAGAGAGCTGCTATTCCCCCTCCTTTCTGTCACTGGGCAAAGTGTGACCTTCGTCTCTACTTTCTCACAGCGGCAGGTATGTATTATTCCCAGCCTTCGTCCCCTCATGGTAAATATTCATGTTATGCTATATTCCAGGGACTGTGATGCGCCATTCGCATGGCGCAATAGGCATGGGTTATTATCTGAGCAGGTGTGTCTGTGCTTCTTGTACCGGGGGGACCCAGTGGGGCGCAGACTACATCTTGCTTCGCCCTTAACCCAATAGCGATAGCCTTAGAGGGCGAAGCCATATACGAAATAGAACTGAAGTTACCTACTGTAACTCCAGCTTCTATGAGTATTGGCGTAGCCCTCTAAGTTCTGGGCCCCACTGGCTCCACGAATAGCTGAAGAAAAGTTGTTTTGTGTGGGAGCAGATTGTCGGGCCTCCTTCCTATTTATACCGGAAGGGAGCCCGAGGGTGGGGCCCACCTTGCGGGCGGGCGTGGACTACAAGTGTTTCGGTGCTGCGCGGGTGGGCAGGGGGATTACCCAATAGCGATAGCCTTAGAGGGCTACGCCAATACTCATAGAAGCTGGAGTTACAGTAGGTAACTTCAGTTAAAAAGCCTCAGTCACCTTAATTCATGTAATGAAAACATCTCAGGTCAGTAACACTCAAAGCTAAATGTGCAATACCATGTTCAGCTATGTTACTATTTATAATGTTATTATAGGTGCACTTTGAGGACAAAATTAAGAGATTTATGGATACAGCTCTCAACACTCATATGAAACAGAACTGTTCTTACAATGTGTGTTGGAAGGATTTATGAAATTACTATGCATATTTTATTTAAACTCGTTTAAAACATATCTAAATAAATATGTGTGTCCCGGGCCAAGGAGCGTATTGAGCAGGAAAAAAGAAGAGATGGAATGATGGAGCAACTGCGCTGTCATATGTGTGGGCTGGACCTGTATAGTTTAATTTACAGGAAAGGAGTGAGCAGAGGGTAGAGTTGTACTAAAGAGACGCGTTACCATGGAAACCAAACAATGGTGTAGCTGTATTGAAGTCCGAGTGGAAACAGTAATATTTGGAGCGTTATGTTAGAATGAAACAGCCAGGTCGTGACTCACAAAAAAAAAAGTGTTACTTCACTAACTGTAAGCTTGTCACTCAGAGTAACCTACAGTTAACTTAAAGGACACCTATCATGCTATATTTAAATGATATATTGTAGGGCCATACCTATATAAGGTATATTTATACGTTTCTGTTTTCAAAATACCAAACAGATCATGCATTTTAGCCATGCCTCATTTCGCTCTATGTGCTGTTTGCTGTCTACGGGGCTGATTCTGTGAGACCACGCCCCCCTGCAGGAGAGGGTAGCCGTGCTCTGATCAAGTCAAGAGGGGGAGAAAAAAAGATCTCCGTCCTCCGTGTTTTATTTATATATACAGTCTATGGTTTTATTATATTATTATAGGCCTATAGAGTCGTTATTCATTTGTTTTAAAGCTCAATAAATAACAAAGAAGACCTTTGACCGGCACTTTTCTAATTTTGTCCGGAAGATTTAAACTTTAACAGACATCTTGACCAGCGAAAGAAACTGAAACTCTGCCGCACGGTCCCCTCGTTCCTTGGAAGAGGTGGAGAGGTGGGTGTTTGTCATCTGCTGGTGGACTAACACTGAGAGAGCTGTGGCTGATGGGCCATTAGGTGTGTAAACACACAGCTGATCACCTGAGAGCTGCCGTTTCATTCAGACTGTTTAAAAAAAAACAACGGTCTGATTTCAACAACTCAATGTGTGATTGTTATAGCAGTAATATTAGACACTAATAATACAGTAAACTATTAACACTGTACATATTATTGTTTGCCCGTGGGATTAGGATTATCGGTAGTGAGAGCCGTGCTGCATTTTCCTCCGGTCGGATGTGATATAAAAACAAACCGATTATTTTTGTAGTTGTAAAGTCACGTGGATTAAACTACATGTATTAGTGCATTCATTTCAATTCGGCGAACATATGATACATTAAATGATCGTGAGGATGATGATTACAAATCGTTTGTATGAGCCGGTCTGCATTTCCTGACAAAAAAACATAGCGATGGTTTTGTATTTACACCAACGTGGATTAAACCACATTATTTTGTTAAGTAAAAACATGGTGATGTTTTGTAAATTATTACATGTCTTTTATTTAGCACAGAATATGATCCTATCCGTGACATATGGATCTTAACAAATATCCGCTATATCAGATACCTCTACTGTAGATCTATCAGCTGTTTATTTTTTATTTCACATGAGTTCCACTGTGGCAGCTTTTTAATCACTGCACCCCCTGGTGGATCCATGATCCATTGCAGCTGGTTTCATTATAATTAAATGTATTTATCAAGGGGGCGTATCAAGTCCTGCGGGGGGTTTACCTTTTCAGCAGGGGCCCACGCGTCTGAAATGAAGTGCTACATCTGTAGTTTATATGATAGTGATAGCTAATATAACTTACCACCGGGGATGCTTGTCTTTTAAAATATGGATTATTATTAATGTGTTCTTCAGCTACAATTTAGCCTACGGCATGACCTCAGAGTGTATGCATGTAGCCTCTGTAGGTACAGCATAGTGAGCAGTTGACACTTTAGTTTACAAATAAGGCCAACGTATAGTTTTAGACATCATCTTCTTTTCACATTGTTTGAAGTTATGGCTCAGAAAAGGGGAAGGCAAAGGGAAGTGTACGGAGCTAAGAGTGACACAAAAGTAGACACTGAAGAGGCTCAGAGCCTCCCGCTGGGACTGGTAACCAGACAACAGAGACGACGGGGGCCGCCAGTTAGAGAGAAATCACACACTTAGTATCGCAGCCATGTCTTGCTGCAGGAACAGGGGGAGGGAGGGAGTGTATTCCAACTTTGTCAACTGCTTTAGGCCCATCTCCAACTCATGAATGATTAATCCATCCTCACCAATTATTTCCACGTTGATTTATCTTCAGCTCCTTTTATTATTTTACCAAATTCTACATTCATTCCGAGTGGCTGTCGTAATGTTTTCAATGATATTTGGAGGCTGCTTGAATCAGTCTTGTCTTCAACCAGGCGTCAGTGTGGCGCCACAGACACAGACTCAGAGCTGCTATCAGTTTAAATGCTCCGTTACGAAGCATCAGGCTTCACTCAATCTGTTAGACGTTATTAATTACCTGCTTACTAATGCAATCCCTAACATGAGATTCAATTAGTCCAACAGAGCATAATCTTATTACGTTCAGACACTATTACAATTATAATACCAAATATAGCCTAAGTGAGTTGTGCATGGAGCATAATAAATCACTGTGCCTGAACACAGTTTAAGAAAACAAATGTTATACTTTTACTTATAAGTAGGGATGTCCCGATCCGATCACGTGATTGGGGATCGGAGCCGATCACGTGATTTTCACGTGATCGGGGATCGGGAGAAAAAAATCGGGGATCGGAATTTCTTTTTTTTTTTTTTTATAAAATATTTTTATACATTTTATTTAATGTTACAAAACAAAAATGACCATGTTCACGTCTTAAAGTCATCCTGAGGCCTTAGTTTTGGGTTAAAATTACACAACATCATGTATGTGTTGCTTCTTTTGGGCTTGTTTTCATAGACCTGGTTGCTTATTTCTCTCAAATCTGGCAACAGAGTGGGCGCAGTGTCTAATAGTAGCAGTAAGCTAACACGAGGCTACGTTCAGCTGGTGACTCGGGAGTCGGGACAGAGAAAATGTCAGGAGTTTGGAAGTATTA